TAGAGGAAGTGTTTCTCTACTAACTTACATTTATTCTGTTTGCAGATAAAAAGTTTGTAATTATCTATCTACTCTATATTTTTCAAGATTTCTTTTTAGATTGTATTTTATAAGAAATATTTTTTACCTGGTATATCATAACCAGGAGTTATTCCAGCTGTTGATGGGGGTCGACCACCTGATGCTACAGCTGCTGTAAAATAATCTGAAAATCAAAGTATTATGTTGAAGCAAAAAAAAAATATGTTCGTTTTTGTTTTTCTTTTACCATAACGATAATCTTCATTAGATGTTGTTCGTTGTAATGGAAGAAGACCAGTATTTGAATGCATTCGTTCTACAAATTAAAATTAATTATATCATAATGAATAATAAAAATAATTAACCTAATTCTGTTTGTTGAATCATATTTCCTTCGCCTGATGGTAATGTTGGATTAGTATAATCTCGACTTTTATCATTATTATATTTAACAGTAAGTGAAAGAAGTTTTGAATATTCAATTTGAAGCTAAATATTATATTAGAAAATATTTTTATCAAAGATATTTCTATGAAAAAAAAAACTTACAGTACAACAACCATTGTAAATATTTTGACCATGTAATTGCTAAAACAAAAGAAAGAAAACTTTTTGAATATTTAGCGTTTCAAAACAAAAAAAGTCAATTATAATTGTTAATCATACGGATTTTTAAGAGGATCTCATCTTTCTCGAAATTCTCTTCTATCTACTGAACATATTTCAAGAATCATTCCCGTTTCTCCACCACGATACATCCGATCGGAAGGAGATAAAAAGAAACCAAAATACAAAGGACGGGGGACGTTTTCCTGGGATTTTGGCCCACGGTGAAAATAAAGGTTGTTCCAAGTGAAACTTTCAGCAAATACTCAGCTATGTACCAGTAGCCATCACACAAAATTTCAACTTGCTCCGTTGAACTTTTCCTTTACTTTCACCACACCCTAAATGTACATATAAATACCCTATAGGGGTTACCTTGTGAACCCTCGTTCTCGACTATACGATTCAGAACTGGAGTAATTTTTCTAGGATCACTAGGAATGAGTGAGGGCTACAATATTGCAAGGACATAAGGTCCAGAAAAAAACTGTCTTCGTATCCATTTGAAGTGCACAGTGCCAAAAATCCTTGAAAAATCCTTGTAGAGATAACCTTGTTGACGTTCGTTCTCCTTTATACAATTCAGAATCGGAGCCATTTTTTCAGGATCACTAGGAATAAGTGAGGGCTACAATATTGCAAGGACATAAGGTCCAGAAAAAAACTGTCTTCGTATCCATTTGAAGTACACAGTTCCAAAAATCCTTGAAAAATCCCTATAGAGGTAACTTTGTTGACCTTCATTCTCGACTATACAATTCAGAACCGGAGTGATTTTTTTAGGGTCACTAGGAATAAGTGAGGGATACAATATTCCAAGGACAGAAAGTCCACAAATAATCCACCTTGGTATCGATTTAAAGTACATAGTGCCA